GACAATGGGCTCAAACATGGCAACGCTTGTGATGGCACAGGAGGAGGCAGTGTTTCATTCTGCTGTGCGCAGCGTCACTGGGATTCAAACTGACTCCACAGCACCTAACAACAGTAACAGGATGTCCACACACAGAGACCCCGCTCAGGATCCAGACGCCACCCAACACTCCTCCTCCCACTCAGGGTCTGTCAGGCATCCTTGGCTTTTGCTGTCTGAGGAAGCCCATAGCCTAGAACACATTTGCTAAGCCTCTTCTCCACCGCCCCCCCCCCAGTCACATGGTAGGTGTACAGCAAATACTCGTGACTTCAGATGAACTGTTCTTCAGAAGAAAAGGATCACAGGCAGTCATGTCCCCACAGCAGGGGTGGCAGCAGTGTCCCCAGGAGTGGAGAAGTATGGCAGGGAGGGCTCAGGGTGCAGTACCTGTATCCTGTCCTCAGGTAGCTCCGTTTTCATGGCCAGCATCTCCCGGGCATAGACGTCTGGGTAGTGGGCCTCGTTGAATGCCTTTTCCAGCTCCTCTAGTTGGTAGGAAGTAAAGATTGTCCTGAGGGAAGCAAAACTGGACACTCAGGACCCCAGAAACTGAAACGACCTGTCTCAAAGAGGACAAATGGCTCCTCCCCTGTGCCCCTTGGACGGCTCCCCTGGACAAACCCAAAAGTGTAACTGACTTAGTCATCCTCCCCCCACACACTCACATACATTCCCACACACACTTGCACACACGCTATGGGTTTAACCCTTTAGACTCTTCTTCATTCGAGGGTGAGGGCCCACACTATCCTTCAGGAGGGAGCATTATCTCAAACCCCCTGAAATCATTCCCATATTTGAATTCTTTCTGGGGGTGTTTTTTTTTTTGGGAAAGAGTATTAGGGAATACTATTCAGAAAACCACAGAACACCCTTCCCTTCCTCCTAAGCATACACCAGAGGCGCTGGCCACGTACATAAATGTCCCAGCACCCCAGACTACTTCCTGGGTCCCCCTTACAGACCTTAGAGGTGATTTTTAAAATTGCACCCAAAGTTCCAAGACTCACCAGAAAGTCAAATGCAGCTGCAGCCCCAATGTTTGCACAGGCAACAAACTGCATCACCCTTCCCCTCAACCTACCCCAAAGCTCCAGCCCTGCTCACCTACACGTCCCCTGTAGCCACTCAGACCTCCCAGCTCCCTAGAGCCTCTCACAGGTTCCAGGTTCGTTCCCCTGTTCCCTCCTGTGCTTGGAAGGCAAAGGCCACCTTCCAACCATCCCGCACACACAAGACCAACCTACTCACCCTGTGGGGGGCTCCCATCGGAGGGTTCCATTCAGGTCACCCTGACACTCTGCCTGAACTGTGCCACCTACTCCCTCACCCCCAGCCCCCACCACAGAGCATATTGTGTCACAAACTGCTTTTCTCTGATAAAACCAGGGGTGGAAGGGGGGGGGGGAAGGGGAAGCTCCTGTTTGCAGGGCATTGAGTTTATGCAAATGGTGGTGGAATATTTTGGAAAAGGATAGCAATAACAGTGGCACAACATGAAAAATGTCATCGATGTCCCTGAGCTGCAAATGTGGAAATTGTTATGTTGGTGAATGTCTTAGTATGTTATGTTTTCACTGCAATAATAGTAAATAAAATAAAAACTTCGGTAAAAGTTATAATCTCTCACCCTGGCAAAATGTGCAAACGAGTACACTCAATACATTAAAAAAAATTTTTTCCAACACAAACAGTTTTGCATGTAATATTAGGGGCTCATAGACCCTCATATTTTTTTTGAATAAACCACTAAACACTCATTTCCAGATACAAACTCTTTTCTTTTCAGACCTTAATTTCACCAGGTTCCAGGTGGCTTTTATTCATCAGTAAGCCAATGGGCAAGTGTCGTTCAGATTCTACCAGCTGACCTTGTGAAAACGGTACATCCTTTGCTTGATCCTCTGGGATCTAGACCCTGGGACTGGCACAAGGGTTTAGAATCCCTTGCCTCCCCTGACACAAGGGAAAGTGCCAATCGAAGCCCCACACAGTCCTTATGCTGGTGTCGGCTTTAATATCTTGGGGGATGACATAAGGAGTATGCGAGGAAGAAAGAGTGTGCTCCTTATAGAAAATGACTGGTTTGATTCTAAATCGTTTCTCCTATTCTCTGGGGAGCCCAGGGGAGGGTAAAGTGCTTATGTATAAACCAGACCCCGATCCCGACTCACAGGGACCCTATAGGACAGAGTAGAACTGCCCCATAGGGTTTTTAAGGCTGTCAATCTTTACAAAAGCAGACTGACATAGCTTTCTCCCTTAGAGTAGCTGGTGGATTCGAACTGCCAAATCCCTTGTTAGCAGCCAAGTGCACTAATGACTGCGCCACCAGGGCTCCAAGCATCTGTATACAGACGTTAATTCTTCACAACTTTGAAGATTTGCCGCTTCCTATTTCTTTACTGCCTCTGAGCTTGCTGGAGCCCCTGAGCCGATCACCCAAGTAAACAATCGAAAAATACAAGTTCTTCTCAAGAAGAGGAAACGAAAGCACGCAGGTAGCGTGGACTGGCCAAAGCCTACAGAGGCGAGCTGTTTCTAAGTCATTTAGGACCATTCAAGTGCCAGCCTCTGCCTGGAAGAGGCCACAGTCAAGAAAACCGCAAACCCCTAAAACTTTTCCCCCTAATTTGCACTTCAGCGCCGACCCAGCGTTGAGGCCGATTCTACCTCCAGGGAGCCCCCCCTCTCCCCCTCCCCCCCCCCCCCCCCCGCCACAGCCACAACCCTGCTCCTGGCTTTAGGCAGGACCCCAGCCCTCTGGCTCCTGCAACAGCATCTTGCTTGTAGAGGAGCCAAGCTTTCCCGGGAAAGACAAGAGCAAAATCCAGAAGACTGGGCAGCTGCACGCTGTTCCAACCGCTCCCCCACCAGCACCACCGCCGCAACCCCTGCCCATTGTTTCTGAGCAGATAAAGACCTGTCCGTCTCTCATCACCAGATTCCAGGGTCTTTTACCCAAAATCTCCAAACGAAAGAAGGTCAGGAAAGCACATTTTTAACTAATTTGAATCAGTACCCTGCAATCAGTCTCTTCTCTCCAACAGTCTGTTCCGCTCCCTTCATGCACCAGAAAACAGTCAGAAACCTAAGGGTAGCAGTGATTCTCTGGTGGTTGCAAGGTGCCCGAACCTTCCAAAGCTCCCCAAAACCTTTCTTGATGGAGAGCAGGTTACGTGAGGAACTGAAGCTTGGGCTTTCAGCCATGGGTCACTCAGCTATAAATGTCACCCAGTGAGAATGTTCCTGACACAGAAACACTAGTCCTGCAGCCGGGGTTTGGGGGTGCTTCATCCAAAGGCTCTCAAGCGGTGGGAACACCCCATCACCTCCAGCCGGTACCTGCCCTAAAGCAGCTCTACTCGACTGAGACCTGCCCTCCCTCCTCAGCCCCTCTCCCTGCTAGGGAAGGCTGGTGGGGTTACCCACCCTGGGTCAGTGGTGAGGGGGCACCGGAGGTGCTTTGATGAATATTCGTTTCGTTGAATGAGCTAATTAATGAAGATTTTGTAAAAGGGGGGGGGGGGCGAGGGGGACTCAGGATCAGGACAGACTTAAAAAAAAAAACCTCTCCGTTTAAAACAAACAAAAACAGATGCCAGAAGGGGATGAAACTGAAGTCACCGAGAAATCAAGTTAAAGTTCACCCTGATTCAAGCGGAAGCCTGTTGGGGCCTAAGAGGACTGGAAGGGTCCTTTTAAAAGATGGGGGTCACTAGGAGAGTTTCCCGCGGGCTAAGGAACAATAAAGCGCAGAAAAGCGCGAAGGCTCGGGTGCCAAGAGGCTGAGAACAAATTGACAGGACATTGAGAAGAGGATGAGTTGGGGTGGGGACATGTCCGAGAGCGAGCGGAAACCCCGTGGGCGCCTCACCGGGACTGGGGAGGGGAAGGAGAAACGGGAAAGGGACTGGAGGTGAGCGCCAAGGCAGTCCTGGGAGCAGCACTCGCAAAAGGTCTGACAGGCTTTTGGTTCTCCTGCCTTTATTTCCTTAAAACTCCCGGTCATTGACACCGGAAACTGGCAGCGGTGTGGTGCTGAGGAAAGGAATCGGGGTGTAGGAGCGGGGGTGGGGTGGGGGATTGCTTTTCCAGAGATAACTTCCATCACCTATTAAATGTTTAACTTTGGGCAAGTATGGTCTATTTAAAAACAGAATTGTAAACACTCTCTTTTAATCTCTACCTCCCCGGCAGCCCACCTCACTGCAGCTAGGGCTGGTGGGATCACTCGGTCGCCACCCTCCCCACCCCCCACTGAACACAAGAGGAAACTGAGGCTTGTCAGAGCGAAGGCGACCCGCCCGGGATCACCAAAGAGCCAGAAGCCAACAGGAAATTTTGCATCCGTGCGAATTTCACGCTAGAGCTTTGGGGAATGGTGGGGGTGGGGGAAGGCAGAAAATTAGGGGGTCGGCAGAGCGGACAGGAATCCCGGGCAAGGCCTGGGGTGCAGAGGGCAGAGACCCGGGGAGTGAGGTGGCGCGGGTCGAGAGCTCTGGGCTCGGCGGGGATCCAGGGAGGCCCGCTCTGGCTCCGGCCGGCCGGGGTCGGGCCTGGCCTTTCTCGCACAGCTGAAGCGCAAACCCGGAGAGGGCCCGGTTCTCCCGCAAGCTCCCCACCCTCGCCCGGCGCCGCCGGGCGCCGGGGCCTCGGCAAATTTCCCGCAAACAACGCGGGCCTGTCCGCTCTGCGGCGGCCTCGGATCTCAGATGTGGGGTCGGCGAAAAAAAGGTCGGAGTCACTCGGTGCCGCGAACAGGGGACCGCAGGGAAGTGAGTGGGGAGAGGAGGTCCCAGAAAGCGCCACGGGGGTCTTACCTGTGTCTCCGCTTCTTCCGTTTCTTGGTCTGGTTTAAAGCTGACTTGGACATTTTTCGGTCGCTGGAGGAAACATCTTCAGAATCTGAAAAGCAGGCGGAGGGACATGCGGCAGAATGGGGGTGCACCCTCGGCGGCGCCCCGGAGTGTCAGGCGCCCAACGCCCGCGAGGGCCCCGCTGCCAGCCGCCTCCGTGAGCCTGGAGGCCCTCCTCGGTCTCCCTGGGAAGCCCCCCGGAACCCCCGGCGTCCGTCCCCAACCCGAAGCCCAGACTTGCCCACCCTTGCCGGCGCCCGAATAGGAAGGTTTTGAGTAAATTTCGTTGTGAGAAAGGCCAAGCCAGCAGCCGCTGCATTCGGGGCAGAGGCGGCGGTGAAGCGGCAGTCCCCGGGGCGCACGGCCCTCCCGCAGCGCTTGCAGCCCGGGCGCTCCGGGCCGGAAAGTTGGCCCCAAGAAGCGGAGCCGGGGCGCGGGAGGCTGGGCGCCAGGAAGGGCTGGAGCCTACCCAGGTACAACCCCTTTCGCAGGGCCCACACGATGCTCCCCCGCTCGAGGCTGGAGAGCCCGTGGCTCGCCACTTTGCGTTGCCCTCCAAATAAAAAATAACAAAACGAAAAAGAAAAATCGGGGAAAGAGCTGAGCAAGAACACGAGCCGGGGAGGCTGAGCAGGCGGGGACCAAAGCCGGAAAAATGGCCAGGGGAGCGCGCGGCGGGGTCATCGGGGGCCCCCGAGGCGGCCAGGCGCCGGAGGGACCTGATACATCGTGGCGCTCGCGTGGGATCTGCTTGCGGCCGCTTCGGCCGCCGCAGTGACTGGGTAGTCCGGGGTCGTGGGATGAAAAATAAACCCTAGGGGGCCGATGAGGGGGTTTTGGAATGGAGAAACTAGGAGGAGAAAAAACAACTTGGGACCCCGGACCAGAGCCCGCACCCGTTCGCCTGACGCCTGTGCGCGGAGCAAATCGGGCTCCTGGAGCTTAGTCCTCTGAAGGCCCGGACGCAGGGGAGCTACCGGGCTGGGGACCTTCTGTCCCAGAGTCTCGCAGCCCAGCTCCGACACCCCACGCCCCGGTTCCCAGAGGGGCTCCGCGGCCGAGTCCGGCCCTACGCGGAGATGGAGGAAGAGCGCGGCTGCCGGCAACGCTGAGGCCGAACCTCAGCGGCCGCGCAGCGCATCCTCGGGCCCCCAGCCCGAGCGCGCCGGACCCAGGCCCCGGCGGCGACCCAGTGGCCTGGAGCGAACTTTTCCGCTCCAGGGAGGCCTGTCTGGCCGGCGCGAGCGGACGGCGCAGGGCTCCCAAATCTTCCCCGGTGTCAGGCGGCCGCGAAGCCTCGCCCTCACCTACCGGAGCTGGCCGTCTGGCTGGTGTCCAGAGGCCCCGACGCTCTGCCCAGCGGCTGCAAGTGGACGGTCTGCGGGTCAGACAGCACTTCCAGGAAGGAGGGCTGCGCGTAGAAGCCGGGGAGCCCCCCGGGTCCCAGCAGCCCCATGCCGCCCACTCCTGCGGGGCCGAGCACAGAGCGCGCGGCCAGCAAGTGCCCAGGGGCCAGGCCGTCGAGGGTGGCCCGTGGATGAGAGCTGGGGGGCTCCTTGTTCAAGCCTAGGATCTCCTGGATGCCGAAGCCGGTGCACCTGGCCGGAGCGCCCCCCGAGGTACTCTTGGCCACGGTCTCGGCTTTGGGTTTGCTCAGCGTTTCCCCGGCTTTCCCCGTCATCTCCCGGCTCTTTGGAAGGGGCCGAGGCCGAAGGTCTTTGGCTCCCCCCACCCCCCCCGTCGGGCTCCCTGCTTCGCGAAGTTGGTCCCAGGTGCCCCCTCCAGTGTCTAATGCTCTGGAGCCCCAAGGAGATTCCCCTTTTATCCAACCAGGCGGCAGCCCAAGTGGGGTCAGAGCTGAGCAGCCAATCACCGGGGCCAGGAGCGATTAGGAATTCCAAAAAGCTGGCGGCTCCCGCCACACTGAGCGCCAAGGGGCCAGGGTGCAGGAGACCTGGCACCAGGTGGGCTCTTCAGGACACCCATAGGTGTGGGCCCCAGGGGTGGGGTGAGGTGACAAGGGTCAGAGCTGTGCTAGGAGGCAGGTGGCTTGGGATTCTGAGCAGGGCTGGCTGGGATATGTCCCTGGCTTGGCCAGAACAGGTCCCTGGAGTGATAGGACTTGTGAGGGCTGAGACTAGAGCCTGGGAGACCCCCTCCCTCCCTCAACTCCTGTGCAGGTCTACAGGGTCAAACAGGCCCAAACATGGAGCTTTGGGTAAAAAGTGGGACAAGGAAGGGTCAGGTGCCCTGGAAAGTGTGTTTGGTGGCACTGAGAAGAACAGAAGGGGTCAGGGTTGTGGAGAGGAAGACTTGGAGTGGGGAGGGGGAAGTTCAAATCTTGTTTCCCCAGCACAAAATTGAATGGCCTAGTTCAGAAGAGCTGCCCAATTTGGTCATGTTGTCAGAAGGGGCCAGTTCCTAGAGAAGGATGTCATGCTTTGTAAAGTAGGGTTAGCGAAAAAGAGGAAGACCCTCAACAAAATGGATTGACACAGTGGCTGCTGCAAAGATGGGCTCCAGCATAACAAAGACTGTGCGAGTGGGAGAGGACTGGGCAGTGTTTTGTTCTGTTGTACACAGGGTCACTATGAGTCAGAACCAACTCGAAGGCACCTAACAACAACAACCACAGGAAGAGGGGTCCCTAGTGGGAAAAAGGAGGAGTGGTAACTTCTTTCAAACAATGAAGAGTATCTGAGCATCTTCCTAGAATAAATATGAAGTGTGCCACACTTCCACAGAAGGACTTCATTTATTGTTCCATCCATCTGTTCAACTACAATGAACTAAAGATTCTACAATAAATCAGATAGAGGAGGCAAGGAGGCTCACTGAGCAAACAGAATGAAAAAGATGAGATTGTTGATGGAAGGGGTGGTAGTGGAAGGCAATTAAAAGGTAAGCCCCCCCCCACACACACACACACAGTTGATGGGAATCTCTTGACCATCTCTTGAATTGGAAGCTGAAGAATTGCAGCCAACTGTGCCAGTAGGAAGGAGTCCTAAAGGTGCATTGGTTAAATACTTAGCTACTAACCAAAAGGCCTGCAGTTCTAACCCACCAGCTGCTCTGCAGGAGCAAGATGTACCAGTCTGCCTCTGTAATGATTATAGTCTTGAAAACCCAATGGGGCACTTCGACTTTGTCCTACAGGGTTGCTGAGAATTGACTTGGACAGCAATGGGTTGGTTGTTGGTTGGTGCCACTTGAAAAGCCGTAAGATGTGGCAGGAAACTGGAGGGAGAGAAAAATCTGAATTCCCAGGTGGGCAGTGGTGTTGCTAGCGTCACACCCAGCTGAGCCAATGGAGCTCCTGCTCAAGGGTTTAAGGGGAGCATGGCTCCTTTGGTCCCAAATGACATTTGCAAAGGTGATTTTATACACACATATCACACACACAGACAGACACATACACTCCACGTGCTCTGAGCCCTTGCACTCCACCTCCTCAGCTAACTCTTCTGTAACCTTGGGTTGGGGGACTCCCTTTGTCTTGCAACTCCTCCCCACTGGTCCTAGCATACAGTAGGTTTTTAATAAATGTTTCTTAAATCGAAGGCACTGTGAGGGCAGATAAGGATAGGGACATTTGCTTTGGGTAGAGGCTGGAAAAGCAGGGAGAGTGAGAGATTCTAATCAGGATTCTTGGCCAGGCAACTGCAAACCCCCAAATAAATGGAAACCCCTTACCACCCCACAGCCAAGGGCCCTTGTATCCTCTGTGGCCACCACACGGCTAGACTGAGAGATGAGGGGAGACAGACCTTCTAGGATGTGGAACTGAGGTCTTGCTAACAGAGTTTTTGGGAGGTGGTTTCACTGCTCTCGTCTGCTCTATTTGAGAGCTGGAACTAGAGGGGGTACATTTAACAGTGCAGAAGGTGTCTATTCATTCCAAAGGCTGGCTCCTTATCCTGTAATAATGCCATGCCTGCTGTGCACCTATATTGTCCCAGCCCCTTTACATGGCATAATCCCTAGTGCTCACAACAGCAGTGTTATCGAGGCCATGGCTCTGCAGCTGAAAGTTGCCATAATGATTCTTACTCGGAAGACAGAGCCTCGGGGATGTACAGTGTCAGGGGCACACTTCATCTTGTGTTCAATGGAGTTGGGTTCCAAATGGCATCCCTCACATAGACAACAATGTGGATGGCCTTACCCGCCACATAAGAATTTCTTTCTGCATTTTATGGATATAGAAACTTAGGTTACCAGAGACATTAGGAAACTTGTCCCAAGCAGCAGTAGGCAGACTCAACCCCAGATAAGTCTGATGACAAAAGCCGTTCTCTTTTTCATTTTCCTCTCCTAATCTTTTACTTTCTGAGGGTAGGAGAAGGGAACAACTTATAGAGGGTTGGAGTTGTCTTCAGTCTTTGGTGGACTTTTTTCAGTCAGCTCAAACATCAGCACGCCTTAGATCAAAGCCAGAAGAACCAGCTGGCCATCAGGAAAAGCATAGGACTGGAAGTGTGCTTGATCATCAGCCACTTTAATTTTTTTTAAAAAAGCCATTCTCTTCTGACTCCATCCTTCCGTAGGCCTCCTCTCCATGCCAGCCTACCTTGGGAGAATGGATGAGGATGTTATGTTAATGGCATCTGTCACGTTCTTGACTTATCACAGGACATTCACGATGAGCCAGATGCCAGCCAATAGGCAAGGACATGAGTGATGGAAAACCAGGCGAATGAGTGATGGGAAGCTCAACTCTTGCCAGGAGATGAGAGTGAAAAATCTCTGAACCAAACCCTATGCCTGAAGCTGCCAGTTCCCAGTCCCAGGGAGGCGGTTACCATCTTGCCCAAGGAAAGAGGCAGGGGATGGGGCAACCTCAGGCCCTCTGAGAGGGGCCTTTGCCAGAGGCAGGAGATGGAAGGAGGGCCCACCATCAGCCCCAGCTTCCGAACAGGACTCCCCGACAGACTCATGGCTGAGGGCTGTCACTGAAGTTTTGAGGTGTCATTGTTACTGCTCCACAGCAGCCCATTTCGGGCCAGACCCAGCTTCATGATATTTGTGGACTATGGGGGGAATCTTGCAAGGAAAAGGGGGGCTCCCACAAGCTCAGGTGGAAGGTGGGAGGAGAAAAGGGGACTTTAGTGTACCCTCTCAGAGGCACGTAGTTTGGTCATTTAAAAAAAAAGGATTTCTGTCAAGTTGAATCCAACACATGGCAACCCCATGTGTGGCAGGCTAGGACTGTGCTTCCTAGAGTTTTCCATGGCTGTGACCTTCAGAAGTAGATTTTCAGGCCTTTCTTCTAAGGTACCTTTGGGTGGACTTGAACCTCCAATCTTTCTGTTAGCAGCTGAGCATGATAACTGTTTGCATCACCCAGATATAAGGTACAGCCTTGGTTGTACCTAGATCCAAATCCTGGGTCTGCCACATAGCAGCTCTGTGGCTCTTAGCCTATCCCTTAACTTCTCTGAACCTCACTTGCTTTACCTATAAAGCAACCTTATATTGAAGTTGTGAACATCCACTCATCCCATGAGTTCACATAGGGGCGAGGATAGAACCAGACTGTCGGGGTTCAGACTCCAGCTCTGTCGCTTGCTTGGTGACCTTGGCCCTCTGTGCCTTAGTTTCCTCATCATAAAATGGGGATAATGGCAGTACCTAGCCCTTGTGGTTGTCATGAAGATTATAAATATACTGAAAAACAATATCTGTTACACAATAAAGCTTATATTGTTATTATTAAAATGCAGGAAGATACTCACTGTGCTCTTGACTGGTGTTATGTGGAGAATAAGGCAGACCTAGTCCCTGCCTTCATGGAGATTGGTCCAGTGATTGAAGGGGGTAATATGTATGTATTTTTTTTTTATGATTTGGGTGAAAGTTTACAGAACAAATTCACGTTCCATACAGCAGTTCACATACACTTTGTCTCATGACATTGACTGCAATTTCCCACAATGCAACAGCTCCCCAACTACTCCCTCTCCAGTTAGCTCTTCCCAGTGTCCTTCCCTCCATGCACTCCTGCCCCCTGAGCTGTCTCCCTGTGCATACACAGCCCTTCTATTCTCCCATGATTGTTCTCTCCAAGGAGTTTATCTCCCTAATGTAAATGTTCAGCTCATATGCCTGTCTTTTGCTTGACTGGAAGCCACAGGAGGGTGTTCAATTGTAGACCTGAAGGGCAGGCATCTAGGGGCCATAGTCTCAGTGGTTCCATCAGGCTCTATCAGACCAGCAAACCTGGTCCCTTTTTTTTTTTTTAATTTTGAGTTTTGTTCCACATTGTTCTCCCACTCTATCCAGGATCTCCTACACAGATCCACCTTGAAGCAGGTAATATTTTTAAAACACTTAACGTGATTCCTGGCACTGGGGGCTCGGTACATAGTGCCTCTTGCTACTACTATTAATGGGCTCCCTTACTTTATTTAATAGGAGCTCTGGTAGCCTAGTGCCTAAGGCACTATGTACCTATTATATTGATGGTTCTGTGATAGTCTGTTGTGTGGATAAAACATAAAACTGTTAATGTTGGACATTTAGTTTGCTTTTAGTTTGTCATTGCTATAATTATACTTAGGAGCTCTGGTAGCGTATGCCTTAGGCACTTGACTGCTAACCAGAAGGCTGGCATTCAAACCCACCAGCCACTCCTCAGAAAGAAGATGAGGCAATCTACTTCCGTAATGATGTTGTTGTTATTTGCCATCGAGTAATGATACTGCCTCGGAAATCCAAGGAGGGGTCGTTATGAGTCGGGTCCAACTCGACGGCACATAACAACA